CGACAATAAGAAAGGCAAGAGCGATGATTGGAAGAAGACAGCTACGTGCAGAAATTGTAGCAAGATTGGTCACAGTTCTCCAGATTGTACTCAGCCAAAACGTACTGAAGCGAATCGGTACATGCAGGGCGCAGTGTATGCGATCCTAGAGGCTGAAGCTCGAGGATTCAAAACGGAAGACCAAGAGAGGCCCGTCACGATATTCATTGACAACGGCAGTAGCCTAAATGGCATAACTGAGGAGTTGGTGAAGAAATACATGCCCGACGATGTAGTGTCAGATCTAGAGCTCAAGAAGTTGGAGAAACTTCTGAGTTCTTACTCCGACAAGAAGCCTTCCTCAAGGTCGCGCAAGACCGTATAAGTGAAGCACTGGAGCGCATGAAGCATTATTACGACAAGGACAGACTTGTCCAAGACTTCAAGATTGGCGGCATGGTGCTACTAGACGGAAAGAATTTTGATATCCATCACAAGGGGTACGCACAGTCGAAGAAGTTAGCTCCGAGGTTCATTGGACCTTTTCCGGTCCAGAAGAAGGTATCTCAAGACTCGTATGAGTTGGGATTATCAGAGAACCTAAAGTTGCATCCAGTTTTCCATACTTCACTGTTGAAACCGTACCGCAAAGATCTAAAGCGCAGGCAGCAGGTGAACAAAGTTGTGTTAGCCGACGGAACTGAAGGGCAACTGGTCGAAGCCGCGATAAACCACCGCAAGTACAAGGGCAAACCGCAGTACAAGAATTGGTGGTTAGGCGAGACCAAAAAAGAGGCCACGTTGGAAACTGTTGAGAAGCTGAAACAGATCCCTGGTCTCATCGACCTCAATTGAAAGTCCAAGAAGAGAGAGAACCCTTTTAAAGGGGAGGCTCTTTCTCGAAAGGAGGTCATGTGACGGAGTGCTGTCATTTACACTCTGTCAGGCATTGAAGTGCCAAATGCATATTCTAGATGTGTCCACAATGCGGTTGGCTAAAATTAAATTCTAGAAATTTGCTAATTTGTTTACGCCGTCACACTGAGACATTGAGAAGGTCTCATTGGCTGAAAATCAAGAATGTTCTCGAAGCTTGATTACGGGACGCCAGAGAATCAAGTCGACATTGCTACGTGGAAGTTTATAAGAAAATCATTAGTAGATATCAGAAGATAGGAAACAATAGGTTCCAGGATACACTCTACTGGATTCTTAGGAGAGCACTGTGAGCCACCCGTAGGTTCCAAGTAGCCGTAAGAGCCCTCCTCTTTTCAATTTTCTTTTCAATCTACCAAACAGCCCTCAGTGGTCGATCAACTGGCCTTGCCTTGGTTCTTCGCTTCGCCGGTCCACATCCCGGCACGGTCGTCTACGCCTCCTCACGTTACTGTGTGACAGTTACGACGTTGATAAAACGAATATACGACACTCATTACCAACCAACGATCTCGACGCATTACTTGGTGTTTGGGATTCACCATGGCTCCCCACCAGGTGTCCCTTTACTCGACCGATCTTATGATTTCTTATCTTTGATCATAAGATCTTAAAGGTGATGTATCCATAACTTCGTTTCTTCACATATCATTGGATTGTATATTAGAATTAATAGTGTATAGTGTATATTATCAGCTAGGTACACTTGAGAAGTCAAAACGCCTATAAGCTATAATACAGAAAAACTTTCAACTGAGCTCTGGAACTGCTAAGTCCGACGAATAACAGTAGACATGTACAATGTATCCAGTACGTACCCCAGTTTGCAAAATGAGCGTTTATTCTAAGATTCTGAACTTCTTCCCAAAGCCGCCAAGAAGGGGTTACCTTATAGCTTTGATGCTTGCACTAGAGTAGCTTCTAACCAAATTTGTGATCAGACAAACCACCAGTGAGATAAATATTTATTAAAACAGCGACTAAACATGTATTGTATTCAGCGTACGATCTTTATAGTAGAGGTCGTTCACAGAACGGCGCTTATCAGTAACGAGGACATTAAAGATATGATACGCCGCAGCTAGTGATGTTGATCAATGTCGTCCAGCGTACCAATTTCACGAATGAAGATGACGAGGTAAAGGTAATCAACTCAAATATTTTCCTGGAGCTTTGTTCTCTTCTTCAGTATGTGCATAAGCCGTTAGTATAACACATTCTCGACCAGCAGTCTAGTTGTAATCACATACCTTATATTTGCGCGTAGACGGTCAAACTGAGCATTGCGATTCAAACAGCAAATCTTGTATCGACTTACTTACCCTACAGTTGTGGTAGTGTGCGATTACATCAGTTGAAAGTTGCTATGTATTATCTTATTACACGGCTGTACCTACTCGACCCTGACTAAGATATTACATTGCTTTCTTCCGCTGGGGTATTTTTATTTTATTTTAATTCTGATTTTTCTTGTACAAGTCGCTATCCCGAAGTCCTTATTGGCTGTTGTCGGTAATATTTTGCATGCAGCCGACATTTCTTGCATGTCTGGTATGATTACGATTTTGTCCGCTGAGGGGCTCGAACCCGGCGCCACACAGCGTAAGGTCCAGAAGCATTGACCATTCGACCCACGCCACCGGGTCTGTGCGATTACATCAATGAAACCTTGACTCGGTTTAATTTAAACGTTTCTGGAAAATATCCACCTCTCTGTATCCAGGAGGAAGACTCATTTTATATTTCGCAAGCAACGGAGTGCAAGTCCATGGATTTACGGTTATTTTTAACTTTTTACCATGGATTACTGTTTTGGTATATAAATCCATTGACTGGTTAATTATTGCTTTTGTTTAGGGAGAATAAAAAAATGCCCTCTTGGATCGAACCTAATGGGTAGGTAGTTTGTTGGTGTCTCATAT